GGGCCTTTGTCTCAAAAAAAAAAAAAAAAGATATAATTTGAGAGGTAAATTGTTATCTCTAGTGGAAAGTAAAAAGATCCCATCTCCTTAAATGAGCCAGGCTGGAAGAGGAGCATCTCCTTTCCTTACTTCTCCCAGAGAAGAAGGAGGCTGCTCCTAAGCTGCTCTAGTGACTCCGTCATTCTGGAGGGGTGACTGTATGCACACTCCTCAGGGGCAGGCAGTGACTGAAGAGGCACCCCAAACCAAGGAGAAGCTTGTGGTGGTTTGTGCCTGAGTTAAACACTCCCCTTGGTCGGAGGATGACTCTACTTAGCACGTGTTGCTTTTACAAATACAATTCTGATCCTAGATGGAAAATAATGAAACTTTCCATGAAGCCACACTTATAAACTTGGAGCCAGTGAGCCTACAGAAGGTCCTCATTTACCCCAGCCGTCCTGGTTTAATTAATTTTTAAAATCAGAAGCAATCTCAGGACTTTATTCCAAAGAAATATTCTGTCTGATCGGAGGAAGATGTATGCAGAATGTAAGGATCTGACCGAGTTTCTAAAATCTGTCACACTGAGAGAAAAATGGGAAAGAAAATGTTTGCATTAAGCTTTTCCCTGACTCTCAGAGGAGTTCAGAGTCAGGCTCATCAACTCCTGGATCACACAGCAGTCCCGCTCTGCCTCGTCCCTGTTATCAACCTCGTCTCCACTCTAAGACACAAACATCATTAACTGAGAACTAAGGAACTCACAAGCCCTGCGAGCAGTGTGTGCTGCCCAGGCTCAGATGCCCACCTTGACGCCCTCGTTGTAACTGTCCCCAGGGCTGCTGAGGCTGGCAAGGCTGCCCAGGTGACCGGGGGCTCCAGGGCGAGGCGGTTTCTTTGGTGGAGCTACAGGATCTGGTAAAATGGAATGATTCCCATTAAGTAATGTGTGTTAATAAAGAGAAAGGAAACCATGCCCAAATAACTACTGGCATTCTTACAAAAGACACTAATCTTGCATTCTAAGGAGGCATTTCTGATGCATTACAGCAATAAATTCTTTTTCCCAATATTCCCGTCATGAGCTGAATGTGATAAACTTTATACTTGCTGTGGTCTACAGAGGGAAAACTGTTAAATAATCATGAAGGCATTCCAAAGCTATGATATTACATACATTGAAAACCTGCTCCAACCAAATTGTACAAACTTCTTGACACACAATTCATCTCTTCATTTACCTGGTTTACCCACAGGCTGATATATGTGTTGGTTTCCAGTCTGTGGGAAAAGAAAAGCTCAGTCAATGCACTGGTGTGTACCATGGGGTAATGCCCACCTCTCCACCCTGTCCATTCACCCCCTTGAACTTCTGGGCTAGACGCTGCAGTATCAAGATGAACAAGGCAGGGTCCTGCCTTAAAGGACCAGGCAAATTAGCAAATGATGTCAACAGGACGTATGGAAAGGGCTGTGATAGAAGCAAGCATGAGATACTTTGGGAACACAAACAAAGGTGGTCACAACCAAATTTAGAATGTTCTTGGGCCAGGCATGGTGCCTCATGTCTGTAATTCCAGCACTATGGGAGGCCAAGAGTTTTGATATCAGCCTGGTCAACATAGCGAGACTCTATCTCTATAAAAAAATTTAAAAATAGCCAGGTGCAGTGGCGTGTGACTACAGTCCCAGCTACTTGGGAGGCTGAGGCTGGAGGATCGCTTGAGCCCAGGAGTTCAAGGCTACAGTGAGCTATGATCACACCACTGCACTCCAGGCTGGGTGACAGAGCAAGAACCTGTCTTTAAAAAAAGAAAAAAAGAAAAGGAAAAAGAAAAAGGAAAAGGAAAAGTTCTTACACAGATGTCTCCAATTTAGCTCTAAAGGGTTTCAAATCCCAGGCCTTTCCAGGGCTCAGGACACTCCCTCCCAGGCTCCCAACCATGCTTATCACAATAAGGGGTACAACCAGAACAATGACGACGGGAAGGGGCTTGGTGGCACAAGGCATGTAGATATCCCATGGGCCTATTTTGCTATTGTCCTGAAGCACTGTGTGTATCAGGACCTGGTGTTACACCTTCATCAGTTTCAGGCCAAGCTAGAGAAGCCTTAGAATTTGTGCCCCAAGCACAGGATAAAAAGACAGTTCCACTTAAGACCAGTCCTACTTCAGGTTGTCATGCCTGAAATTACATTTAAAATAATCTTTCTGGCCAGGCACAGTGGCTCACATCTATAATCCTAGTACTTTGTGAGGCTGAGGCAGGAGGATCGCTTCAGGTCAGGAGTTTGAGGGTGCAGTGAGCTACGATCCTATGATCGCACCACTGTACTCCAGCCTGGGCGACAGAGTGAGACTCTGTCTCAAAAACAAAAACAAAAACCCCGCAACTTTCTGTGGCTAACTACACGGGGAAAAATCTTTTTAGAACTATACTATATTTCTGAAAAGAAAGACTTTTCTTGCTTATTTAAAAATAATGAAGTCGTTAATACATATAATTTAAGGTGCCTTCACTTTCTATTGAAAAAAGATTCACTTGTTTAGACTACAAGGGCTATGAAATAGCACACACTATTAAAATTGCTCCTCTCCCCAGAATCCAGTTGTTTTCAACGTGCCATTTAACACCTTTGACTTTAAAGACTTGCAAAACCCTCAGAGCTTGAAGGTGTGAAGAATGATTCCTTAGCAACTTACTATGTATTGTGCAGTGCTTTCTATTTAACATACCATTTTCATATCATTCATTTATTCAACAAATAACTATTGAACAGCTGCTTTGTTCTAGGCACTGTTCTAGCTATACAACAAAGATCCTACCCTTGTGGAGCTAATAGTGTAGTGGATGGAGACAAATCATAAACATACATTATAGTACATTCTGTGCTGTCTCCAACAAAGAAAGGAGGTGGGAGGTGTCAGGAGATGGCTGGGGGTGGGAGGGGAGGAGCTGTAGTTTTCAGCAGGAAGTTCAGGCCTTTTGAGAAAGCGATCTTTGAGCACAGACCTGAGGTAAGTGAAGTCTTGCAGCAATCTGGGAGAAGAGTGGCCAGGGAGGGAGCCCCAAGCAGGCAAAAACCAAGTGTCTGGGTGACAGTGAGGCAGCTAGTGTAGCTAGAGAGGATGAGTGAGGGCAGAGACTGGTGAAAGCGTCACCAGGACTTAAAACCAGACAGTCTGTTGGCTGCACTATGCTCACTGATTCAGGCAGTAAATCCCACACACATTTGAAGAGGTTTGAAATACAAAGAACTTTCTGGTTGACACTTAGGTAACAAGAAAGTTCAATTAACTAGAAAATCCTATTCGACCATTCTGGAATAATCTAGAAAATGTGTGTGAACAGTTATGCAGGTTCTGCTCTCGAATGGCAGGCACAGAAAAGGAAAGCCCTCGCTTCAAAAGTCTGACAGGATGAGTGTCTGGAGCTAGGCTGTGCTCATGGTTTTGCGCGTATCCAGCTGTGGACCTTGGCAGACTCATGGACCTGTTTGGGGCCTTGGTAAATTGAGGCTAACTACACTTACTTAAAACTGGGTTGTCACAAAATGAACATGCTGTCAACTTATATATTAAAGTCCAAATAGGTTTTTACTTTTTATGCACACTGATAGAATCAATTTTACACTAGCCTGTTACTAATATTTACTAACTACTTCACATCCAATTATAATCTACATTGTTTTCTAGCCAAAAGGTTCTCCTTGAAACTGTGGCATATTTTCAAAAGTGTTAAAGCTGGAAGTGTTTCAACACATGGGCCAAAACTAAATTGTTATCTTTAGGAAAGAACAAAAGAGGAAAAAAACCCACAAACAGTCATGGTGTGTTAACGGTCTCTAGGAAGGAAATGAGGGAGGCCTGCTGAGCCCAGCCTGCCACATGTGTTTGGCCACCTGTGCATAAACGCATCGTATAACCTCTGGCTCTGCGGCAGGGGACCTAGGGCAAGTTTTCTTTGAGTCTCAGTCTACTTATTTGTGAAACTTGGATGACAACAGTGCTCAATTTGTCAAGAGTGATGCGAGTACTCAGTACAGTGCCTTGCAGTACTAAGCAGGTTCTCAGTCAGTACTAAGTACTCTTATTATTGCCGAGGCCTGGCACACAGCAGACTGGGAGATCACAGGTGGGGTCATCACGTTTCATCTGATTGTCTTACAAGTTCTTATTAATAAAGCATTTCTGAATAATCCTTCTATCCAGGTTTAATTAATTAATTCACTCTACATATTTTCTAGGTGCTTTGTATGTGCCACATACTGGAACACAAATGATTTTCCTTATCTAACAAATTTCCCATTGGCAATGTTCTAAATAATTAGTCTCTTGAATAGAATTTATTTTCATGCTGATTTTTGCTCCTTCTCAACAATTTAGGACTGAAGGCTTGCTAAGGAAGCTCAGTGAGATGTTAAATGGCCGATAATGTGACTTTCTTGCTTATAAACTGAAGAATGTCTGATACGCACTATCTGTAGAGCCCACTGAGTCAGTTCTAATGCGAAATGCCCAACCTTCACATGCTGCCAACTGGGAAATCTAGGTGCAAGATCTTGAGGCAGACCGAATTTTATAGTACAGATGGGGAAAAATTCCTGGTGGGGCCATTCCATAATATGTGTCTTGGAGCTAGGTGATGACACAGTCTCATGAGAACATAAAATTGTGATTAAGGTCAGTGCTGCATTCCATTTGAAGAGGCTTGTTATGGAAAGATCTAGAAAATATTTAGCACACTTTTATTTCAAAATTCTGTGCTATTTTATACAATGTTTAAAAGGTTTTAAGGTAAGTGTTGACAGTTGTATGCATGTATGCGTGACTAGATGTCAACTCAGTGGTTTCACCCTTATTAGGGTAGGACTTTATCTCTACCTGACAGGCACAGTAAGTGTGTAAAGAAATCTGCATTTATTTTAAACAGACATTTGATGGTGGATGGTGGAAATCCTAACAAAACAATTTAAATTACTTTCTTTCAAACACCAGGGAATATTTCTAATGTCTGGAATAATCAAAAGCTAGCTCTTTAAAGAGAATTTCAGGCACTTCTCCTTGTAACACCCTGAGGACAAAATCTTGCTTGAGTAAGTTTTATGTGACTGTGGAAACTTTTACAGCCATGCAATAAGAGCATAAATATTTAGCAAATGACAACTTGTGTGTAACAACACTTAATATACGTACATATTTCTTTAGGTCACAGAGAGTTGGGCTTACTACTAAAAAGCCTGCATCAGTAATGAAGCCAAAGACTTCTGTATCTGACCAAGAATTCTGGGCTGTATATCGCATATGTTAATAATCTTAATCTTAGTTAAAATGTTCACTTTATTTACAGAATAGATTATTGTGTACCATATTACAAATATTGGTAAGCGTAGATATCTTATGACATAGACATGATGGTCCATGCACATGAAAATCTGAAATCAAATCCTGGTGAAAATTCGGGCTGTTGCTTACCGGACCCTGAAGACTTCCATCCTCCCTGTCGATGCTGCCTCGAGAGAGCCGCACGTCAGGTTTCTAAAGAAATTAAAACAAAACCAAAACAGTTTGATTTTTGATTTGAAAATTACTGACGGATTCTGCATTAAATTCCTTCCTTTGATAACACAATTGTCCTCTGAATAAGAAGAGTTGAAAGTTCCCTAACTTCAAATTCTCAAAACCCGGTGACGATGAATGAAGGTCAGCTGCCTTGGGAAGGGCCCCATTTACTTCTGTCCACACACATGGCACAGGCTGGTACCTGCACCATGGCCCCACACCGTGCTGGAAAACCTGCACTTCACCTCTCTTCAGAGCAGCGCAGCAGGCTTTCTTCTTCACTGAGGGAACCTCAACCCCAGGATAAAAATACTAGGCACTGCTTTCTGATTCCTGGCAGAACAAGGATTATACGGCTTTGGCTGTCTTGCCAAAGCAGCAAATGAGTACGATTATTAGATTTTTTTTTCCCATAATGCATCTAGAACACAGAAACCAAACAGAGAAATCTGGATTTAACGTAAATAAGAGTACACAAATTTCACTAATATTAGAATAAACAAAGTAGGTTACATGGCTATATGGTGAAGGAGCTGGGTAGAAGGTTTTTCACTTACGAAAACCACCCTAGGGTCCCACAGTACTGGCTTTCGTGGAGCCTTCGCTGGCCACACTGACTCCTGCCTCCCCTTTGCCCATGCACACTGGCCACACACTTCTGCCTATAAAACTTTGCCGCTCTCTTCAAGATCCAGCCATATACCTCTTCTCTGCAGCATGGTTCCCTCCTCCTCTTCAAGCAGAATCAGTCACTTCTTAGTCTATGTCTTACAGAGATCCTCTACATTGGTACATATCATGCAGTAATTACTTCCCTCATCGGACAAGGGACATCTTCAAGTCTGATTTGTCTATCTTCTACTTTCTGTACCTGACAAGGGCCTGGCCCTTGTCATAATCCATCAGTACCTGTTGGGTGGGTGATGGGGAAATGAGCTGCATCTCTCTTTCCCAGTTCCACTGGTGTAGACCAAGTTCTCTCACAGTATCAGCTTCCTAGCCAGTCTCTCTGCTTCCACCCTTGACCACTCTAATTAAAGCACTGTTTTCATTACATTACATCTTGACTGTTCCTCCATGTTCTATACTGATCAAGTCCAAATTCTTCATTTTAGCACCGAAGGCCTCAAATCTCCTTCTCCCCATTAGAGCCTTTGTGGGCACAGGGTCAGTTGTGGGCGCCAGGCTGTAGTGGGAAGTTGGCGAAGGACACGTCCACCATTAAGATCAGAGCGATCCTTTGATGGCTCAGAGATGAACTCCTTTCTCGGACAGGGGTCCTGCACTGTCCCTTGCCTACTTCCCTCCCTCCCCTTTCTTTTCCTCTAAGTGTAGCACTGTGCCTGGAATGTAGTGGGCTCTCAATGAATGCTGAGGTCTGAGACCAGGTAACTCAAGGAAATGGGTGAAGGAGTTACTGATGGTTAGTCACAAAGAGAGGGTTCTGGGTGATAGCTGTTAATGATCCTCCGGGTTGTCATGTGGGAAAGTGTGAAACCTGTGTGTTGCTCTTGAATACTGGGCAGATTTTAGCTCATTTATGGGAAAGTTTCTAATAATCAGAGGCACCCTGAAAAAGAATGGACAGCGCTGAGACTGGCAGCAGAGAGTAAGCAGAGGGCAAAAGTCACATCTTATCTGTTACCTATTCATTCAACAAAATTTACAAAACATATAATGTGTATCAGCCCCTGTAACCTTAAGGCATGGCACAGTTCCTGCTGGCACGTGGCACACATTCAATAAGCTGTTGTTGAATTAATTAATTTCCAAGTCATTATGTTAAAAAAAAAAGATATTCCCCTTAATGGAAAAATAATAGCTAAATAAAGGTAGAAAATGACCTAAATCCTCAATGCATGTTAAGAAAGCAGACTTCTGGCCGGGCGCGGTGGCTCACGCCTGTAATCCTAGCTCTCTGGGAGGCCGAGGTGGGAGGATTGTTTGAGCTCAGGAGTTCTAGACCAGCCTGAGCAAGAGCGAGACCCCATCTCTACTAAAAATAGAAAGAAATTAATCGGCCAACTAAAAATATATAGAAAAAATTAGCCAGGCATGGTGGCGCATGCCTGTAGTCCCAGCTACTCGGGAGGCTGAGGCAGAAGGATCGCTTGAGCCCAGGAGTGTGAGGTTGCTGTGAGTTAGGCTGACGCCACGGCACTCACTGTAGCCAGGGCAACGGAGTGAGGCTCTGTCTCAAAAAAAAAAAAAATGAAAGCAGACTTCTACAAAGTATGACAGAACTCTGTCCTTAAGTAAACCAGAAAAGTTTTGTGTAAGTATTTCTGAACTCTGAAACGCATAACTTGAAAAAAAAAAAACTCTAAGGGATAAAACACTGTACCATGTTCATATGTACTACAATAACAGGAAATAATAATTTAAATAATGAATTCTTCCTGCAAATGTTAGTAATACATAAATCCAGTGCCACATAGGTGAAGCCAAACCCAGAGGCATGTAGTTGGCGACTGCTGCAGAAAGGACTGTCCCAGGAGACATCAACAGCAGTGGCTGGGTGGGAAAATTCAAAGTAGGTAGTTTCTGACCTCAAAGAAGAAACTTCTCTGACAGGCAGGACAGACATGAATAGACAAAAGGAAACTGAACAAACACATCCATTACTTCAATCATTGATTCCAACCGGTAACTGAAGGGGAAATCACTGGGGCCACTTTCTCCAGGTCCTCTACCATGGAATGCTGCAGTTCTGCCACTGCCTGAATGAAGAGGCAGCTCTGCACAGGCAGTGGCTCCTAAACATCCCAGAAACTGTTAAGATAAAGACTTCAAAACACAACAGACTTTGAGAAAATGTGCCTGAGAGCATGAGACTTCATATTGACAAATCTTACATTACTCAGCATAATCAAGGTCAGAAAAGACTTCAGGGAAGACCAAGGAACCATTCAAGCCTAGAGGAGACTGAAGAGACATGACAACTGAATACAACTCGTGAACCAGAACTTTTTCTAGAAAGGACATCATGTAAACAACTGGTGAAACATGAATAGAATCTGCAGATTAGCCAACAGTATTGTATCACTGTTAATTTCCTGATCTTGATAACTGGACTGTGGTTATGTTAGAGACTATCCTTACTTTTAGGAAATTCGCATTGACCTCTTTAGGAGTGAAGAGCATGATATTTGATGTTTACTTCCAAATGGTTCAGAAAAAAATGACATGTATAAATACGTAGAGCAAATAATAAAGCAAATGTGGTCACATGTTATCAAGTAGGGAGTCTGGGCAAAGGGAACTCAGGAATTCTTTGTACTATTCTTGCAATTTATTTAAAGTCTGAAACTGTGTCTTTCCTCCTCTGCCCATTCAGTTGAGAGACCAGCTGGGAAGCAGGGTCCGCTCAGGGGTCCTGCTGAAGGGCCCTAAACAGAAGGTACAGGTGATCAGGTTTGACTCCCCTACTGTAATAGGAAGAGCAAGAGTTTTTTGTTTGTTTAAGAGATGGAGTCTCACTACGCACAGTGGCTATTCACAGGCATGATCATAGTACACTGCAGCCTTGAACAACTGGCCTCAAGGGATCCTCCTGCCTTAGCCTCCCAAGTAGCTGAGAGTAAAGGCATGCGCCACTGCGCCTGGCTAGAGCAATAGTCTTAAAAAACAAAAGACCCAGCAGGCCCAACTTACACCTTGGTTACTTATTAGTTATGTGATATTGGGTTATTTAAAAAATATATATCCTCTATTATTTAATAATCTGAACAAAAGAAACATGCACTTACTGGAGAAAAACTAAGATACTGAAAAAATAGAAGAAAAAAATAAAAATCACTCAATCTTATCATTTTGAAGTAACTATCATTAGCTAATATTATGGTGTAAATATATGCTTACAAAAATGGGATCATGTCAGATGATTTTGCAGACTTCATGTAACCTTTATTCAGGGGAAACTGATTAAAACAACGTTAAAAGGCTGCACGACATTCTACTGTATGAATGTCATTATGAAGCAGAAAACAGCATTGAAGGATGTAGGCTCTGGCACCAGGAGGCCTGGGTTCAGATCAGGCTCCAACCCCTACAAGCTGTGTGACCTGAGCCTCAATTTATTCACCTCTAAAACGGAACAGTAAAACATAGCATCGTCAGGAGGATGAAATGAGTTAATACTACCAAAGTCTAAGTCAGTGCCACGTAAGTATTAAAATAAAGTTCTCCTATTGTTGGATATTTGGGTCATTTTCAAAATCTCAATGTATAAATAGGTTGTAGATAAACATTTTTGTGTAAAAATCTTTGACTAAACCCCTGATTACTTCCCAGGGATAGATTTCTAAGAAAGGAATTACTGAGTCAAAAGGTTTGGACATTTGGAAAATTCTTGGTGTAAGTTTCCAAATTGCTCAAGCTGTCCTGACAGTCATCTCTGATGTAGTACACAAGAGTACTTCTCTCACTGTGTCTAGCAGCCCTGTATCATCGTTTTAAAACACTGCCAATTCTTAAGTGAAATCCTGCATGTTGTTGTAATTTTCCCAAACAGTTCAAGATTTCTGTTTCTTATCACTAGATGTTAAGCCCTCTGAAGACAGAGGCTATAGAGCTGTCAATCTCACTACTGTACCTGTCACCTGGCAGGATGCTGGACAAACAAGTGGGAGGAAATGAATGCCCTGAGCACTCTGCCTGTGAACTGACTGTCCATGCACCCTGGACAAGGCTTTATTTAACCTCTCCAGACCCATTTCTGCACCTGTAACAAGAGAAGAATAATACCCACCTCAGATGGTTATCAGAATTAAAGATGTGCTTGGCAACACTGTGCACATAGCAGATGTACAGTTTCAATAAATATGTGCTGAAGGAATGCTTCAGTGAAAATGCAAGGCAGAAAAAATATTTTATAGATGAGAAACTTGAAGCTCAGAAAGATGATTTACTTGTGTCAGGCAAAGAATTCTTAAATAGTAAAGGTGGGCTTCAATCAGTCAACAGATGGTTAAGTA